TCTTAGCTGGATCACCTTTGCAGATTCCTTCATGTGGTGCTGTTTTGTGTGTTTCGGGAGTTCTGTCCTGTAACATGGAAAAAGAAAAGGTTCCATCAGCTTTATTCTTGCACATTTTGAATGTCACCCTGGCCAGTATCTCTCCTACAGAATACCTTGCGTTTGCTGCCACTGTTGCCTGTGTTGATGTTTCTGTATCCTTAATCACTAGTTTTCTCCATTTAAGTAGTTTGTCTGGAACACAATACGCTATTATTACAACAAATAGCGTTCTCTGAAAAGTAATTGAGAGAGTGAGAAAAGAAAGCAAAAGCTAAGCCTCTTTTCTTCTTCTTTAAATGAATTCTTGGAGCCAGTAAGTTCTATTAGGAACAAAGAGACCATGACTTTCTGAACACAAAGGACATTAAAGCATTTGTGGGTGTTACACATGTTACTGCTTGCCATTAGAAATCTCGCAGTAGTTTACTTGAAGACATTATGTACTCAATGAATCAGATATTAAATCTGTTTGAGTGCTGGGCTACCACAACCATAAAGTTTTAATGAAGAATGACATCCATGGGCATGTGGAAGAAGAGTGACAGATGAAACTCTTCAGTAGATCTTGTCAGTGTTGAAAGTGGATCAGAATAAGAAATACTGATGCTATTTAAAAGCTAATGGGCATGAGCCATGAGTCCCAGATCTTTCTCCAGTGTCCAGATTTGTAAGTCATGTCACAGTAGATTGCCAAGATGCTGAAGGTTGAGGCATAAGAAATTGGAAAGAATATGCATAATAGATCTTGGATAGTTCTAGGGTCTTGCTTGTCATTGCCCGTGAAGGTATCAGTGCTTTGCTAAGCCTAAACAAGCCATCTCAACTTGACAAAATTAGATATGCATAGCAGACCTTGGATCAATTCACTTAAAGGTATTGTCAGGACAATAGCATCTCTAGATTAAGAGTCACATACCTGTCACTGTATTCAGTGGTGGTCTCCTTTCCACATCTTTCAGTGAAATAGACCCTAAACCATGTGGTGCATTTTGGTGTGACCCCAGCCAGGACGTCCCTAGGGGAGTCCGGGGCCCAAGACAGAAGTGCCGAGTTTCTGTCTGCCAGGGGAGTGCTCCGCCCAGTCCCCACCCCCACTCCATCCCTTCCACCCCCGAGGTGCATTGCATTATGCCCCAGGAATAAGTAGAACTCGAAATGCTGTGTGTTCTGAATAGAATTAAAATCAGTTAAAACCAGACAATATATTACATTAACACTGTACCTAAACCAAGGCCAACCAGGCTAAAACTAGTACTCAGACTGGAAGCAGAGTTCATCTTGCCTGATGAGTATAAGCATAGCATACAATATTTAGAGAAGGTCAATTAATGAGGGTGGGATCTGAGTTACTACAGAGAATTCTTTCCTGGGTGTCTGGCTGGTGAATCTTTCCCACATGCTCAGGGTTTAGCTGATCGCCATATTTAGGGTCGGGAAGGAATTTTCCTCCAGGGCAGATTGGCAGAGGCCCTGGGGGTTTTCTGCCTTCCTCTGCAGCGTGGGTCACGGGTCACTTGCTGGAGGATTCTCTGCACCTTGAAGTTTTTAAACCATGATTTGAGGACTTCAGTGGCTCAGACATAGGTTAGGGGTTTGTTGCAGGAGTGGGTGGGTGAGATTCTGCGGCCTGCGTTGTGCAGAAGGTCAGACTAGATGAACATATTGGCCCCTTCTGACCTTAAAGTCTATGACTCTATGACTCTATGAGGGTGCTGTACAGAAAAAAATGCTCATGAACAAGACTGTGTAGCTTTGTACTCTCCCTGTTAGTGGTTCAAGTTTATTTTACTATGCTTTCAAATAATGCCTTTGGTGCTAAAATGACCAGACAACCTGACTGACTGGAGCTGGAAAATCCTGAGTATATTTATGAGAGGAATGTCTCCTATGTTCATGTCCTTAAAAAAACTTCTATCTCCCTCTTTTCCAATTTTTTTCACAACTGTTTGATACCAATCGGGCACTGCAGCTGTAAGTATGTTGTCTTGGCTTCCAAGTATTGGTATAGTCTGGGTGGAAGCAGTTTCTCCTATCAGTCAGTGAGAGGAAAAGGTCCTATTCAGGTGCAGCAGGGATGAAGCAGTAAGTTGACAGCAGTCTTGGTAGATAGTGGAATCAAAAGTTAAATATCTAGATGAGGAACAGGATTGGGGACACAGAGCAGTGGTCTCCAAACTTTTTTGATCGCGCACCCCTATCCGTAAAAATTTTTTGAGCACGCACCCCTTGCCGCGCCGAAGCAAAAAAAAAAAAAAAAAAAAACCGCAAAGGGCCCCCCCCCCAAAAGAAGCCGCTTGGATTCCTGCCTGACGAAGCAAAAAAAAAAAGCGCTCCTCCTGCCATGCACCCCCAAGGATCTTCTTGCGCACCCCCTGGGGTGCACGCACACCACTTTGGAGACCACTGACATAGAGGAAAAGTGTTCTGGAAATGTTTGGGTTGATTTAACTTTTCCAACCCCCCGAGTCGATTCAATATGCTTCTCTGTCACTGTCTCAAATCCAGTACCTAGAGTCCTGGAACCCTAATATTCCATCTGTCTTAAAGGAGTCCCATCTTTATATTAACTCATTAGTGGAGTTCATCCTGCTGAGCAGGAGGGTGCCAGTAGAATAAATCTATTTTTGAAACTGCAGGACTAACTGTTCATTATTAAAATATAATAGTTCTTAGCACTTATCTACTGCTTGTCATCTGTTGATTTCAACATCTTTTTCAAAGGCAAATAAGAATCACAACATCCATTTTATAAATTAGGAAACCCAGGCAGAGCGGTTAGGTGACTTACCTAAGGTCACACAGCAAGTCAAGTGGCAGAATTGGGAATAGAACCAGATATCTTTTGTTTCCTTGTCTCAATCTTTGTCTGCTAGAAAACACTAGAAGCATGGTCGTATTGAAAGGCGAGGTTCTCCTCCTCCTAATAGCAGGATCAGTGAAGTGAAGTGTGCAATGAGCAGGCAAGACCACGTCCCAGATGGCTAAGGGTACATTATCAAAACACAAGAATCCCCATGTTTTGAGACCCAGGTGGCTTGATACCCATTGGACCTGCAACTTGGAGTGAAAAATAAGAAGAGGAACAGACCCCAACAAACAAATCATCCCCCCACTTTGGAGTCTTTTGGGTTTTATATCGATCTCTCATCACTTATCACCTGCCATCCATGGAAAATTCCAGGGTCCTTTCACCTAAAATGCTCTCAAATATCAGGCTCTTGACTTGTCTGGAAAGTATTTGTTTTGCATAGTACCGGCGCACCTTATCTTTCAACAGTTTGTGCACCTATCAACAGAAGTCTGAGTTCCTAAAACAGGGCCAAGCAAGTTCTTTATGGATGGACATGTTCCAGTGTCATTTCAGGTTACATGATTACAGGAGCAGTTGATGAATTCTCCAAAGAAATTCCAAGTCCTTAACTAATCTTATTTTATAATGTCCCTACGCTTCTTCATCACTTGCATTGTTTTCCTGCTGAGAAACTTCTTAAAAGGGCAGTCTGAAAAATGAATACATTACTGCAATTTTTGTAATTAGGGCCTGAGTTACTTGCAAGAGTGGAGAAGTGATGAGAAAAATATGGGCTGTTGATTGATTCCCGTAGCTTAACAAATATTGCTTGATTAGGGAATGACAAGGCATTTTAATTCTGGAGATTGTAAATAATAAAAGAGCTGAGGAAACTATGCTAGATTTATTTTGCCCTGACTATCTGATTTTAAGATTAATCAATATGGAGAAGTAAAACCAGGATTTCAGTGAAATCTAAAGGTTGACAGAGACAACAGTATTATCTTGAAAACCATCTTTTTTCTATTTATAATATAGACAAAAGAATTGATATTCAGTATTGAGTTGAACATTCATGAAAGCTAAAGTGAAGTTGCAAGTAGACATGGAAGGTCTGTATTTTTAAACTCAGCGATTACACATTATAAATCTTTCCTGCAGGGCCTATAACTGAAATTATAACCATCTAAATGGAAAAAGATTCTGAAACTTGTATATCTTATTTTAAGCTAATTAAAGCTACTGAGGGCCAGCAAGGATAACTGGATGAAAGGCAGTCACAGAGAGTGCCTATTTTCAGATATTTAGAAAGTGGTTTTTAATATCAAACCGTACAGTACTGTAATAGATGAAGACAGGTCATCAGCTGAATTGTACCTACTTCAAAGTACCAAAATATGTGTGTCTTGTTCTCAGTGTATTCCCTGTGATTGAACAATTGTATAACGGGAAATAATTTTAGCAAATGTTAAATGTGGTTGCATGTAACCTATAATTTCTCTTTAGATAGAAATATTTCTCCTATATCATGAAATTGAAAGGTTAGAAACCATGTGATTACATGAAAGCACTTGAATTACTGCATCAGTGCCCCTTTTTTTGGGTGAGGGGGGGTGACTGCTTCTTGGGCTGTGAAATGCTAGGCTAAAAAAGGGTACTTGATGGTAGAGCTGTGCTCAGTGCTTCTAGTGAAACTTGAAACTGCTTGAAACTTGCCTGGTTGTGGGTTCCGTCATTAACTTTAAATTCATTTTGCTCAGATGCAAGACTTGGAGTGTGTACACAATGGGAGTTGAAACAAACAAACTCATGTTTACATGGAGCCCTGAGACCCCAGAACTCCCCATTTCATACAATACTAACCAGTAAATGTCTACTTCTTGTGCAGTTAGAGCCTAATCCAAAGACCACTGAAGTTAATGGAAAGATTCCTATTGACTTGGTGGACTTTAGATCAGGCTCTTTGGGCACAATCCTGCAAGATACTGAGTACCTCCTACTGACCTCAAATGCCAGTGAATTCAGAGATACCCAAGGCACACACCATTGTTCCTTGTGCATTCAAGGGAGGGAAGGGTGCTAGCTCTGAATTTCATGTTACTATGATTTGAATATTTAATAGTTTCAAGTATTTAAATTTGTTTTCCCCCCTTTCTTTTTCTCTCAGGCTAGTCCCGCCCCTATAATAGTCAACACAGACACCTTGGACACAATTCCCTATGTAAGTATGATATTTTGTTTCCTCTTTTTGTAAACAGTTGAACTTACAGCCTGGTCTATCTTGATTTCCCTCCCTCCCCCCAGTAAAATTCTCTTCACTGCATTATCAGATACACAAAACATTAGTCAAGTGTATGCACCGAATGTTCTTTAAATATATTGTATCTATTTTTTAAAAATGCTTGTGTGATTTAATTCTTTCCCAGTTGCACAAATTAGGGAAGGTAATAAAGTCTGGTGTCATATAGTGCAAAGTAGTAATTCACATACAGAATTTTAATATGCAACAAAGTTTTAACAAATCAAAACTAGCGGTAACTTTCTTTTGAAAAATATTGTGGATTTATTGCGTCTTTCCCTTTTCCCAGTGCAGCTGTAAAACTTGAAGAGTTTTATTTGCAGATCAGCAAATATTACTAATACCAAGAGTTTTTGTTTTGATTTGGGATTTTTTTTTTCTGAAGAAATTTCCAGCTATATAAGTCTGTGTCTGAATTTCTAGTATCAGATGGAGGGGAAACATCTTGTCTCAACCCTTCGTCTGTTTTTCTGTATGTCTTTTTTTAGACTGGAGGCATTTTAGGGTGTTTCTGTACAGCACCTAGCATGTGCTTGGCATTGCTGTCAGATAAGTAATAGTAATTTAACTTTTAACTAATAGGAATGTCATTTTATTTTTTAAAAATAGAAAAATTAATGCTCAGTTTTTAGCCTTACCCTTTTGTGAAGAGCTTTTCAGAGGTTACTGTGTGTTGTTAACAAACAGTGGTGATAGGCTCAGATTCCAGAAAGAACTTCACCACAACTAATGAATTTTTCTAAGCTCTAATTACTTACAAATTCAGTTCTT